AACTGCACAATTTTAATCCGATTTCTTTATGACAAGCCAGTATTCAGAATGGCTTCCAGTAGTGTAAAGTTCAAAGATTAAACATTGTTTGTTTTGCTAATCTTCAGTATATTCTGACTTTTAGCAATTAAGAAGTGAATAAATTATTCCACTTCTCAGGGTGATGTACAATACATACAAAGAAACCAAGTGAGTGTGTTTTTACCTGAATAAATGAAGCTGGTGTAAGATAAATATTGAAATGTATGTATATTTCACAGAGAGGCCTAAATTACTGGTTATTATTGGTGACCTAAGCAAGATCAGAGACTAATAGCTTCCTATTGCAGTTACTTTTTCAGCAGCTTCTAAAGAGTTCATCCTTGGCATTTATTAACTTATTCGAGAAGTTCTGTCAAAATTAATGTTTGTTACAGTGGCACATTTCTAATTCTATTCATAGATTCATATTTCAAAGTGACAATTGAGTTCTACTCCACATTTATTTCAGTGTAAAATAGCATGAACCTTGCTAACAGTTCAACGTTACATATTTTTTATATTTTGGGTACTATCTAGCTTTGCTTGTAAGTCGCAAGGAACCTCCCCATTCATTCTCTGGCAGAGTGAGTGGGGTTTTCTCCATATTATGGAACAGCCTGTTCTGTTCAGTAAGAAGGCAGGGCAAAATTATCTCCTCTTTTTGTTTCCTAACCTTCTAGAACAGCCCTGTATAGCCGTAGCAGGGGTTCGTTTGTGCTTTGAACAGCCCAACAAATAACTAGTTAATTCTGTGCCCCGCCCCTCCTCTTGTTTTTAACTTTCTTCTCTAACCTGTTATAGAAAAGGCAGGGAATGCTTTTTTTGTGCATGTGCAGAGCTCCTTGCCTGTCCTTTCCTCAATGCTGCAACTGGAAAGGACTTCATAACTTGCTTTAATTAAGGGCTGTACATTTTGGATACCAAGGCCTCAGTAGCTGCCATCATCATTGACTTTGAGTTAGTCTCAGGCTGGAAAGGCAGGATTGCTTCTTCTTGCTGTTACCCTCCTTGAGAAACCAAAACAAGCTGTGGAAAGTCCATTTATTCCCAAATACCCATTTTCCTCCAGGCCAACAGGGAGTGGCAAACACTTGTTTTGTGCCAAAACTACCTAGAGAAAATGCTTTCTCCTCCCTGCTTTTTTCTTCAGGCTAAGCAAGTAAAATGGCTAGGAGTAGAGCTACCTAAAGTTCCTACCTGGATCCTCCTTGAGCTGAGCAGGCTTACACTGTAGCTGAGGAGGAGCTGTTGTCTTTCCCCAACTGCCTCAGGTAACAAGCAGGCAATAGGAAAAAAGACCTTTGAAAAATGAAATGTTATTTCAAATATTAAGATGTCCAAAGGGTGGATTTCTCAGAAGGGGAAATCAGAGCTTTTTCTGGAGGGGCTTTTTCCATTTCCTCTTTCAGCAATTTATGAGAGGATCAGACTCACTCCCCGTTTCTGGACTGAGTTAAAAACCTTATAGCTCTAGCTGTCAGTGGTGCTGTCCAGCAGGGCATTTTAAAGAAAATGACAGATCTCCTTGAAACAGAGATGTGTGAGAAAGGTTATGATTTGAAGAGTGTGTCTCTGCTGCACATACCTGTGTTCTCTATCTCCTTTGAACTTTTTAAAGCTAACTGTGGTGCAGTGGAATGTCAGCTTCACTGCTATTACTGAGGTAACTTTAACTCAGAGTTTTCAACTAAGGTTCGATGGTGCTTTGCAATGACTGCTTAAAAAAGATTTGTACTAACTCTGTGTAGGTGTGATGTTGCATCACAGTTGGCCCTCCAAAGCCTGAGAAAGGTTACAATTCACATTTGGAAAAGGGTGAGCACAAATGTTTGTAAAGTATGTGCTTAGTCCATCTAAACATGGTTTACATTATGCTTGCACTAGACCCTGTCCAAAATATGCTTGGTGTGATGCACAGAAGGGTATCCATTGCAAGAGGTCCAGCAGAATTAATAGGTACACACTCTACCTGTCTTGTTACCAATGTGGCACCAGGTCACCACCAAGGTGACTAAAGCAGTCTCAATCCCAGAGAAATACTTAGTGGGGAATAGGGAGAAGGCCTAGTTTCTGGAATGCTCTACTATACACATTGTAGCTACCCATGAATTAGTCTGGGTTATTAACAGCCCTGGGTTGAGCATCACAATAAGCAATCTGGGGACCTATTGTCTTTAGGATTTTATTGTATACCAAACTCGTTAAAATACAGAATTTCTAATTCAGGTCCTTGAAATCTGTCTGGAATGCATTGGTATTTGACTTAAAAGTTAACTGTTGAATGTTTAGCTATCCTGACTTCATTATGTGAAGCTCCATAGGGAGCTGTAGTTGGAACTAGATACCTACTGTGTTAGAGTGAGTTAAAAATAAGCATATTATCTGTTTTTTGTACTGTGAATGCACAGTGTACACCTGCTAAATCTGTAGTGTTATGAAGGAGTATATAGTCTTTTCTAGCTGGAAGGTTTGTGCACAATTGCCATGCTACTCTGAATATTATACACCATTCAAAATGGCAGTGATACTAAGGTGGTGGTATTCAACACGATTCATACACATTTTGGAGTTGTCATTTTAAGAACTGTGGTAAAATTTAATAAGTGCAATTTATGATACAGTGGCTACTGAGTGTATTTTCAGCATAATGGATTTTAGAATGGAGCATGATGAAGCAAATGCTCCATTTGTTCTGCTCTACATTATTTTATAGTGCGGAACAGGTGAATTCAAATGAAATACAAAATATTCACCACAGAAAACAATAATGAACCATTTTTTTGGTTCTGTCCCCTTTTCCCAACCTCTTCATAAAACTCCATCCTTCCTTTGCACCATTTTAATGATTGATATGATCGCAGTGCTGTCATTCTTAACAAAAAGTCACTTTTGTTCTAGGTATTTTAATAGATTCCCATTAAACATGTATTGCTGACTGAAATATTGGCATGAAGGGCTCTCACTGGGCTGAGCCCGGGAATTAAGAAGTCAGGAAATCAGCTGCTGCATAGCAAAAGAGCCTTGTGATCTCCTGATTGGGGGGATCATTACTGCTATTATGACTCTCCTTGCGTAGGACTTTTGAATTTCATCTGAATGTCAGTAATAACCCTCTTAGCAAATTATCCTGAATAAAATCACAAAGGCATTTTATATAATAGGTGTTGAATTACTGGATAGATTTGCTAATTAAATACTCTTTGTTCTGCTGCAGTTGACATTACAGGGTAAGATCTTGAACAATTAATCTCAACAGCTGTACTTTGTTAAGGGAAAAATTAACTGCAAAGTTTATTTTTTTACACTTGAAGTTGGCAGATTTTTGAAATGTGCTTGAAAAAAAATTCCATCATCCAATTGGTAATGAGAAGATAAATATGCAGGTGTTTCTGTGAAATATGATAACTGCCAACTGATTTATTAATGAATTTAGCAAGCCTTTCTAACCTATTTCCTCACTGTTAGCACTTGGAGTTGATTTTCTATTAGAGTAGATAATATTAATACTACACCTGTCACTAGATTATCTTTACTTGTATTTTGACCCTCTTGTAATTATCTATGTTTGCTACTGCCCTTATGAAAAATATTATTTGTAGAGAATCATTATCTCTTTAAAAGAAGCTGCTCTGTCAGAAATGTCTTGCCAGTTACTTTTCAGAGTGATTATAAATAGTATTAATTTTTAAAAATGATATCAAGTGCTGGTGAAGTTTGGTATAAAAGTGCATGATGTCTTTATTTTCAGTTAATATTAGATTTTTTGTTAGTTTGTTTGTAAAGTATAAGCCTTCTCCTGTTTTCTGTGTATGGGGTTTGGGTTGTGGAACGTATGATTAATAAAGCTTGTCAAAATATGCTGTCTTTTAAAACTAGACAATTCAGCTCTATTTAGCTTTATATATATAGTTTCTGATTTGTAGGTAAGCAAAGTTGAGTGGCATCCTCTGTTTGAAGCAATCTCTGGTCTCCAAGAAGGATTTGTCTGTTTAAACTTTTATAAATGGGAAGGCAGATTATAAATCATCACTTTTCTTTCTAGTTGTAGGACTAAAAAAAAACCCTGCTTGTATGACTGCACATTATTTGCTCAAACTCCTGCTTACTCTGATTTATAGGGAGTAAATACTATGACATCCTTGGAAGTCCTTTCCATCCTTATATGGACATTTGGAAAATGATCAAACTATACAGTCAGCTCCAGAGAGGAGGCCTGAAAAAATGGCGCCAGTGATCTAAGAAATGGCAGGCATGAGCCTAAAAGCATATTTAGAGGGGGTTCTTACATCATGTTTGCAGCATAGAACTACTGTCGCTTACCTTACATTACTGTGTTAATGTAATAGCCATGGCCTAGTATTGGAAGGGTTACATGCCTCATACCAACAGTCCTGGAAGTTAGGGATATACATGTATCCGTAACAGTTATGTTCTCACTAGCAATTATTTGCAGTTATCAAGCTATCAAAAGACTCAAGATCTCCCTTATTGAACAGACAGTTCTAATTTAAACAAGATGTAATGTGTGCTTAGCCAGCTTCATTTCCATTTTATCATACCTCCTTGGAACCATGCAACTGATCTACTTGCCAGTGGAAAGTAAATGATGCCTTTATAAGCCATTAAACTTAGGTTTGTTTGTATGCATGCCATCCACATCAAACTATTTGGATAGAACATGCCCTAGATTAAGGAAATGTTTGTTAGTGCAAAATATGTTTAAACAGAGTGGTCTGTTACTGCTAACCCTATTTGGATGCATTGACTGTTAAAGGAACTTGGAAGAAATCTGTGATGTACTGTACTCTTGTATTTTTATATTTTATAATTTTCTGAGAAGGATAGTGTTACAGGGTGAAGATACAACATGCAATGGTAGTTTTATCAGTTTGTGTGTCTAGAAAGCTAAGGCTTATTGATATTTTACATATAGTAACGTGTAATGTGATCTCATTAGAATCAATTTGTTTTCTTCCCAGATTTTGATGCATACTAAGGAGATGGTGCAGAAGGTAATAATGAACAAGTTTTATTATATAACTGTCCTTAAATAGCCCACGGATGATTTCTCATTAATTTTTATTCTAGGAAATTGTTACCCAAACAGAACTGAAATAACTTCTCAGGATGCCTAGTTCACAAACTTAATCCTTGCTAATGGATTATAGTTCCCCCACCTTTGGGTAAAGCAGATGTGATCTGTTCCCTGCTTGAAGTCTGTGCTTGAGACTTTTAGGCAAATTAATAACAGTGCTAATTAGAGTTTAGTCACAGGCCAGTAACTGTATATTCTGATGTATTTCTTGGGGATTTTTCCCTAGTAACCCTTTTTTCTTTCACAGGCTTGGAATTTAACTTTTTTATGGGTTGGTTCAAAGAAACTAAGAAGAAGGGCAACAGCTTTAGGATGCTTTGCAAACACTTCTTTTCTAGCATTGCAAAACACTTGTGCTGTGCTGGAAAAGGCAAATCAGTAGCTGTTTTCATGCTTCTGCTTGTATTAGATCTTATGCAAGTAGAAAACTTCTTTTTATATCGAATTTCATTTGTCTGCTCTGGTGTGTAATGTGAAATAAGATTACTTTAATATGAGTAAATGCATTTTGGGACCAATGCTATGTTTTACACAATCACATGACCTGCTCTTCAACTTGATTGCAGTTGCCAATGGTTTAAAAATATTAATAATCTTGAAACCTTGGACCAGTTCACAGGTAGCATCAACCCATGCTTTGGAACAGTGAGATGAGCTCTGTGCTTATGCCTTCCTCCACTTGTAAACTCTTAGTAATTATTCAGTGAGTGGGTTTGGATAATACAAGAACCCACATTGGAAGGTACTTGTCATGTCATGTGAGCGCAGGCTACTTCTTTGACAATCCATAGCTTGTTCCGGGGTTGTTGTAACCATCCATGATAGATTATGTCATCCAGATGACCAACACCATTATAGGTACTTAGAAATAGCTTTCTTCCCATTTTCCTCCACCCCAGAGATCACAGACCTTGAATTGACAGTCTCAGCCCCATGGAAGCATCCAAGCAGCACATTGGAGGAGCTGTCACTGCTTGGCCAACTTTAAAAAATCACATGCCCCAAATATGTGCCAATGATATTTTCTGTATTTTGTTTTACTTTTTGTTAATTTTTATTTGAACTGGTGCAAGTGCACAGTCTGCAGGTCCAAACATGGGAAGCCCCAGCTAGGCAATGTCTTTGGAGGTACTTGTCAAAATGCAACAGGTACTAACCCTGAACATTAGCCCAGAAAGACTGCAAAGAGGTTTTTTTTTTAACTTTGCTTCCCCAACACCTGTCAAAAGGCAAGCTGTCAAGGGAAGGCAAAACTGTGAATGATCTTTTACCATCCCTTTGTGGCAAAAACCTTCCTTTTTTTGGCGGGATCTTGCTTTTTACACTATGCAGCATCTTTTCTACCCCTTCCTGAAATTTATTAAGGCGAAAAAGTGCAAGTGGCCCCTTCTTGACAGCTGTCAAAGCTTAGGTTTCATCTTAAAATAGGGCTTTGATGGGGCTAATTAGAGTCAAAATGCCACCCCACTTGCAAAGACCACTTATGAGAGGGCCTAGGGAAAGGATAGGTAAGAACACACAGTGAGCCTGAACAATTGAATGCACTGTGGGTTGTACAGGCAACAACCCTCTCTGGCTCATTGTCAGGGTAGGGTACAATAATGTGCAAATCTGCCCTGTGCCTGGTTTATAGCAAGGCATGCTTTGCACTTTACTGCAGGATTGTTTGGAGTGTAATCATACACCATAGCATATCTATTAGAATATTGGTGTTTCCTTTTTTTCTTTCTTTCTTGGGTGTGTCGGCAAACCTGGAAGTACTTCTTTATTGTACTTGGATGATGTTGCTTATAAAGAAAGGCACTTGAACAATGAGTTTGTATTTAATATATATTGATATCTATTTCCATGATTACTTCTTTCTGTGTGTGTGTGTCTGTCCACACATGAGAGTTTAGACAAAAATGTTATTTCAGATTTTTGATAAGAACAATCAGTATTCAATATGTAAGCATTGGTCTGTAATCTATGTAAATTTCCCCTCTACCCTCCCTAGATGAATCTGGAAGTGATTTATGGCGATACAGACTCCATTATGATAAATACAAACATTACCAACTTAGAAGAGGTCTTTAAACTAGGGAACAAGGTAAAGTAATTTTAAAGTTCTGTTGTAGCTTTAATATACTGCTTTGTTACAGAGCTGAATTTCAAACAAGCTTTATTTAAGTACAAATAGTGAACAGTAATCATATTAGAATCTGCAAACTTTGTACTTGACAGCCATAGTGTTTGAGAGCTGGTATGGCATGGTGGTTATAGTGTTGCACTGGGCTTCTGGGAGACTTGGGTTCTTCTTCGCTCAGCCATGAAGCTCACTAGGTGACTTTGGTTTGGTCACAGTCTCTTGGCCTAGCCTATATCACAGTTTGTTGTTGTCAGGATAAATGACAAAGAGAACCGTGTAAACTGCTTTGAGTTCCTTGCAGGAAGCAGAAAGGCAGGTATAAATATAATGTAATGTAGTAATCATTTTTTTAAAATGAAAATGCTTCTTTCATAAACTATTTTGTATTGACATATATGCCAGTGTTTCTTCTCCTATGCTTTGAAAAAGGGTATTGGTATTTCATCTGTGTTTGAATTTCTGAAGGATGTCTTTATTAACTAAAGCTTTGGAAAAGATGGTTTATCTAAGCTGTACAGTTGATAATTTGCTGTAATCTGGCAGCATTCTAGACCTTCAGGTGCCTAGATAACATAATAGGCAAAGCAAGTGTTTTCATATGTGCAATGTTCTGTTAAAAGGAAATATAGTATTCTTTTTGTGAATAGTTCCCCCTAGTTAGGAGAGGCAGGCCATCTTATCTGGTTGACATCTCATTTGTTTGGTCAATAGGTAAAAGCCTACAGACATTCAGGCCACAGTGATCTGCCTGCAATCATAGCTTCATTATGAACTGAGAAATGCTTCTTGAACCCAACACACAGCTAACCCACCTTAGAATAATCCTGGACATAGCAGCCTTCGGGATGTACCTATTACGGTAGAGATTACCCAAGCTTCCCTAATTACTTTATCAAGAGAGGAACTCCTTATATTGTTTTCCTGCTCCTCAGGTATAATGGCCTTGTTGCTGAGATATGGAGCCTTGGGACTGGTTGCATGCTGTGAGCTCACACAACATCTTCTCCTGCAAAAGCCAATTGCCCTGCAGCAACCCTGCAACTCTCAGGCTTCACACCTGATGTCATCCCAACTCTCTCTTACATTTCTCTGTACAAAGAGAGTCATAGATTTTTATTTGATAGATTTTTATGCTATCTCTGGGGAAAAGCTGACACGAGCTGGACTCGCCCAAGTATGGGAGGGAAGGAAATAGGCAATGAGGTTATGGGAAGCCATGATAATCAGTTGGAGAGGATTAAGTGCCAGAAAAGAATTTGCATGTGGTTGAAGGGGATACTGTGCTTATACTAGACGCCATAGAGTTAAAATAGGAGAGCTGAAATACTGGGTGATAAAGCTGGATATAGTGGGCATTATGGAAACCTGGTGAAGAGGAGGTAACTGATGAGATACAGTCTTCCCTACATAGAAACTGTACAGGAAAGACAGGGAAGGACATACAAGAAGAAGTGTTGCCCTGTGGAGTCCGGCAGACTTGATAATCTAAAGTGTGAAGACTCCTCCCCAGAAGCACTATGGGTGAAAATTCCTGGCTCCAAAATGAACTTAGACATAAGAGTATGCTATTGTTTTCCAGACCAGAATGCGCAGGGTGTTCTTGAGACAGAAAAACAAATCAGGGAGGCTTCCAACAAAGGCAGTACTGTAATAGTACTCTACAGTACTGTATGTCACTGCCCAAACATTGGATGAATGTGTGTTCCAGTTCTGACAGTTAAATTTTTCAGTGTCCTAAATGACTGTGTAGCCTAGAGCAGTTGGTTGTAGAACTAACCAGAGGGGAAGCAGTTTTGGATTTAGTTCTCAGTGGGGTTACCAAGGACATAGTACAGGATGTAAATATTGTTGATCCATTAGGTGACAGTGACTATGGTGGTAACAGCTTCAGTATACAGTTAGGTGGAAGACCTAGGTCGAACACACTTGCATTTAACTTAGAAAAATAGCTTCTAAAAAGATGAGAAGTAGTGGAGAAGGGAATCAAGAAGTTTAAAGCATCAAAGAGCTGGAGAATACTAAAAAAATACTATAATAGAGGCACAGATAATATGCATACCGCAAGTGAGGAAAGGCCCAGGAAAATCCAGAAAATCACCAGTATGGTTAATACATGGTGTAAGGAAATTATTAGGGAAAAGAAGGAAATGGAAATCTTGCCCAGAAGAGACGGGGGTGGGGGGCACATAAGGGCCACAAACTTGCACAAGGGCAAGTTTATGTATTCTGGAAAGGAGTCTGAAGTATTAAGGCAGATAATAGTGACAAATGATAGAATGCTCAACCTTATTGGCAAACTGAATGTCAGTAAATCACCCAGTCCAGATGATATCCATCTTAGAGTTCTCAGACACATCAGCCAAGAAATTGCTGACCTTCTTACCAAAATAGTTAACATGTTCCTACAATTAGCCCTTGTACCAGAGGATTTGAGAACTGCAATGTAACATCTATGTAAAGGGGGTTTCAAGGGGAATCTGGGATATTATAGGGCAATTAGTTTAACTTCTCTGGGTTTACTGCTTGAAAGCATTATTAAAGATAGAGTCAGTAAGCACACAGAGTGACAAGCCCTGCTGAAAAAAAAGCATGATTCTACAAGGGATGATCTTGACTCACTAACCTATTGGAGTTCTTTGGAAGCATCAATAAGCATGTAGATGGAGGTGACCCAGGAGAAATTGTTAATTTGGACTTCCAAAAGACTTGTGACAAAGTCCTTCACCAAGGGCTCTTGAATAAACTAAGCAGTCATAAAATAAACAGGGGAATCCTCTTATGAATAACTAACTGGTTAAAGAATAGAAGACAGTGGGTGAAAATAAATTGTAATTTCTCCTGATGGAGAGATGCACAGGGTTTTGCATTAGGACCAATGATTTTTCAATCTATTCATAAATGATCTGGAATTAGGAGTAAATAGTGAAATGGCCAAGTTTGCTGATGACACTAAACTATTTAGGATTGTTAAAACCAAAAGAGGTTATGAAAAGATCCAAAGGGATCTCTCCAAGATGGGAGATTGCATCGAAATGGCAAATACAGTTCAATATGAGCAAGTGTAGAGTAATGCAACTTGGGGCAAAAAGTCCCAACTTCAAATATGTACTGATGGGATATGAAGTAGTAGTGATTGAGAAAGAAAGCAATCTTGTGGTAGTAGTGGACAGGTGAATGAAAATGTTGGCCCAGTGTGCAGCTGCTGTGAAGAAGGCATATTCCATGCTAGGCACAATTAGGATCTGAACAGAAAACAGAACTGCCAGAATCTTATTTTCCTTATACAAATCTTTGGTGCATCTACACTTAGACAATTGTGTTCCATTCTAGTCATCTTACCTGAAAAGGGACATTGAGTTAGAAAAACTACATAGAAGGGCAACAGAAATGATCAGGGGGTTGTAGCAGCACCCCTATGAGGAGCAGCCACAACAACTGGAATTGTTCAGATCAGGAAAGGAAAGGCCTATAAGAGGAGTCACAAGAGAGGTGTTTAAAACAATGCATGGTGTGGAGAAGGTGGGGAGAGAGACATTTTTCTTCCTCCCCCATAACACTCAAACCTGGGATCATCCCATGAAGCTGATTGGTGGGGAGTATGAAAAAACTTCCTCACACAATATATAGTTAAACTATGGGATTTGCTGCCATGGGAAGAAGTGGCGATAGCCACCAATTTGGATAGCTTTAAAAGGGGATTGGGCAGATTCTTCAACCCATTCTACTTGAGGGATCCTGTGGACCACTGGTTTGTTGTCATGGGTATGGAATGCTGGACTAGATGGAACCTTGGTTTGATCCAGCCTGGATTTTCCCATGTTCTTATGTCCATATTTTAAGATAACTTTATGTACCTTCTCCATTCTTTCCCTTCATGCATTAAGTCTTAATAATACTGTGTCATAGGAATGTGGTCTTGCTTGAAAACAGGCCTTCTTTGCTTGAAGTTTTGTGAGATACTTGTGAATTGCTGCTTCATGGAATATATTTACTGTGTACCATAAACTTTTGTTGTAATAACATGGCAAATGACAACCCTTCCAACCCCCCTCCCCTATTTCTGTTCAGTGCCAAAATGGATTGTTTTGTTCCATTGGTGGTTTATTTACAGATTAAAAGTGAAATAAACAAGCTGTACAAGTTGTTGGAGATTGATATTGATGGAGTCTTTAAGACACTTTTATTATTAAAAAAGAAGAAATATGCTGCTTTGGTTGTGGAGCCAACAGGAAATGGAAAATATATTACCAAGCAAGAACTGAAAGGCTTAGACATAGTGCGAAGAGACTGGTGTGATCTTGCAAAAGAAACTGGAAAGTAAGTTATCATATTTGTGTTTAGCTCTCTCTGCAGATTGGCAAATAGATTGTTTTTTGTTCATACAATATTGTCAATTTTGATGTGGTATACCATAAAAATCAAACTCTCTCCCTGAAATGGCCCTAATCCCAAGCGCAGAGTAATCGTGTTTTCTGGAGCCTCACATTGGGCATTCCTTAACCTTGAGTTGGTACTGCCTTTGGAGCTTGTAGGCAAAGTCAACAGTTGCTTCTTCAGAGGACGAAGCCACCGTGATCCTGCCTAATCTTGCAAACTATGCAGGGTCAGGTCTGGTTAGAATCTGGATGGGAGACTTGAGTCCAATACTTAGTAGAAGGTTGGACCCAATTGCCTTTTAGGTCCCTTCCAACAGTATGATTCTATGAGTCTTGAGCTAAATGATCTATCTGGGCTGGAGCTCTGGAGGATTTTTAGGTTCCCACCCTCCTTTGTTTTTCTTTCTCTTCCTCCTCCCATCTTTCCTAATTGACATGTCCTAGCAGGGGGCTATTAAGGTGTCTCACTACAGATGCGGGGAAGCTGCTGCTTCTAGGAGGGGCCCCTTTCTCATGCTGATGTGTGCCAGATGTAAGAAGGGTTGAGTGTTCCCACTCTCTATATTCCTGCTGCCCTGGATCCAGGAACTTGCAATGCAGCATAGTAGCCAGGCCTTGGCAATCTAGGGTAGACGGAACACTTATGGGACTGTTCACATCCTTATTCACATCCTGCGGGCCCTCCATCGTCGCCGGTGAGTTTCTCTGCGGCCACCCTTGCCCCCCTCCCCCGCCGGTGTGGGTGGCAGCAGCGACGGCCTAAGGGCGTTGACACCGTTTGGGGCTGTGAGGAGCCTGGGCTGGATAGAGACTCTGTGCGGGTGGACTTTTGTAATTGGGTGGTTGGAGGGTTTTATGGTTTTATTGTATTTTAAATTGTATTTTAACTTAGATTGTTTTAATGGATTCACACCTGACTGCTACCATGAGGTTGCCTGGGGAGCGCATGGGCGCTACCATTGGGATGGCCTTGGGCAATGGTCGTTATGGCGTTGGGGGTTTAAGTGTTGTTAAAGAAGGAGGGACAGATGGTTGACACCTGTTCCCCCTTCTGGTTATTCCCCCAGCCGGAAGGTTCCAGGTATGCTTATCAACCGCCCCTCGGACCTGACGGTGCTGTTGCTTAATGCCAGGTCGGTCCACAACAAAACATCCCTCATCCATGACCTAATTGTGGTTGAGGGGGCCGACCTGGCTTGCATAACAGAGACTTGGGCGGCGGGGTGGGTTGTGTCCCTCTCTCTACTGTGCCTGCCTGGGTATCTGGTCCAGCACCAGCCATGCCCGGAGGGGAGGGGGGTCACTTTAATTAATCAAGATTCTATCTCCCTTGCGGGGCTTCCTGTTCTCTTGAGACCAGGTCTAGAGTGCCTCTATCTGGCATTGTGCGACCAAGACAGATTGGGGATTCTGCTGGTGTACCATGCACCCTTCTCCCCTTTAGACTCCCTGCCTGAGCTGATGGAGATCATCTCGGACCTAGTGTTGAAGACCCCCAGTATGTTGGTCCTGGGGGACTTCAATCTCCATGCCGAGACTGTTCTGACTGGGGCGGCTCAGGACTTCATGGCCTCCATGATGGCCATGGGGCTGTCTCAACATGTCATAGGCCCGACCCATGAATGTGTACACACGCTGGACCTGGTTTTCTGGAGGAGTTTCTGGTTGATAAGCCTGGCGCTCCTGTTGATGCTCTGGTTGAACTGTGAAATGGGGAAATGACTAGGGCTATTGACACGATCGCTCCTAAGTGTCCTCTCCCGTCCGGCAGAGCCCGTTCATCCCCTTGGTATACACCTGAATTATGGGTGATGGAGCGGGTTGGAAGACTTCTAGAGTGCAGGTGGAGGAAATCACGGGATGAATCTGACCGAACACACTTACGAGCTCATTATCAAGCCTATGCTGTGGCGGTGAGGGCGGCAAAGAAGAAATTCTTCTGCACTTCCATTGTCTCCTCACAGTGCCGTCCAGCAGAGCTCTTTCGGGTGGTGCAGGGGCTGGTACATCCAGGCCCTAAGAAAGATCCCGTACCACCCTTGATGGCCCGCTGTGACGACTTTGCCCAGAACTTTAAGGAGAAAATCACTCAGATTCATCACGAGCTGGACTCCACTAGTGATTCAGATCCCCTAGGGGAGGTGCCAATGTCTCCGTCTGGTCAGATATTATTGGATGAGTTTCAGTTATTGCAGCCTGATGATGTGGACAAGGTGCTTGGACACGTACGTCCCACCACCTGTTTACCTGACCCTTACACATCGTGTCTACTGGCCAAAGCCAAACACGGGATTGGTGCCTGGATCCTGGAGGTCATCAACGCTTCTCTGAGGGATGGCCGGGTGCCTGCCCCTCTAAAGGATGCAGTAGTCAGGCCAGTCCTAAAGAAGGCATCCCTGGATCCAGAGATGGCCGCCAATTATAGACCAGTAGCCAACATTCCGTTTCTGGGCAAGGTGTTGGAATGGGTGGTGGCGGGACAACTCCAAGCACTCTTGGATGTTTATCTGGACCCATTTCAGACCGGCTTCAGACCCGGGTATGGTACTGAATCTGCCTTGGTCGCCCTGTATGATGACCTGTGCAGGGAGAGAGACAGGGGGAGTGCGTCCCTGTTGGTCCTCCTGGACCTCTCAGCAGCTTTCGATACCATCGACCATGGTATCCTTCTGGATAGGCTGGCAGGATTGGAAGTAGGAGGCACTGCTTGGCAGTGGTTCTGCTCCTACCTCAACGGCCGATTCCAGAAGGTGGTGCTGGAGGACTTTGGCTCTGCGCCATGGCAGCTATGCCATGGAGTACCGCAAGGATCCATTTTGTCCCCCTTGCTATTCAACATCTACATGAAACTGCTGGGAGAGGTCATCAGGAGGTGTGGGCTGCGGAATCATCAGTACGCTGATGATACCCAGCTCTACCTCTCTTTTTCAGCCAATCCAGGTGAGGCAGTGGCTGTACTGAACCGGTGCCTGGCAGAGGTAATGGGCTGGATGAGGCCAATAAACTGAAACTCAGTCCAGACAAGACGGAGGTCCTGTTGGTGGGTGGTTTGGGCTTCTGGGTAGGTGACTTGGACCTTGTTCTGAATGGTGTTGCAGTCCCTCTAAAGGACGGGGCCACAGCTTGAGAGTGCTCCTCAACCCAGAGCTGTCTTTGGAAGCTCAAGTGACTGCGGTGGCGAGGAGCGCTTTCCTTCAGCTTCGGTTAATCCATCAACTGCATCCCTACCTGGAGAACGATTGCCTAGTGACAGTGATACATGCATTGGTTACTTCCCGATTGGATTTCTGTAACATGCTCTATGTGTGGCTGCCCTTAAAGACAGTCCGGATACTTCAGATGGTGCAAAATAGAGCAGCCAGGTTGCTGCTTGGAACTGGGCATTATTCTCACAGTCCTCTACCAGCTTCACTGGCTCCCCATCGAAGTCCGGGCTCAATTCAAGGTGCTGCTTATCACCTATAGAGCCCTTAACAGCTTGGGACCTGGATACCTAAAGTAACGCCTCCTTCCATATTTGCCCTCTCACCCCCTTAGATCGGCAGCAGAGGCCCTCCTCCGGGAACCCTCTGTGAAAGACATTAGGAGACTAAGTACCCGGAGGAGGCCTTTCTCTGCTGTGGCACCCCACCTATGGAATGCGCTCCCCAGAGAGGTCCGCCTGGCACTATCATTTGTTTTTCAGCGCCAGGCCAAGACCTTTTTATTTAAACAATATTTTAACAACTTTTAATATCTGTAGGTTTTAATTTGCAGCCAGGGTGAATCTGCATTTTATGTGTACTATTTGTACGGTTATCTGTTTATTGTATGGAAGCCATCCCGAGGCTCATGCGAATGGGACAGCATACAAAAATTCTAAATAAATAAATATTCCCCTTCTACCCACAAAAAGATTAAGAAGGGCAAAAAAGGAAAGCAACCCAAGGGCCAGTTCAAGCACAGAAAAATAAAGTTAGTCTCAGTCTACAGTTTCTCAGAAGGGTCTCCTTCTTTAGCCTCTTCTTTCAGACAGTCTCCAAGTCCTTTCCCTTTACTCAACTCCTCCATTTCAGGGACAAATGGAGTAAGAGTAAAAAAAACAAACAAACCCCAAACAGACAAAAACATGTGGTAAGGCTTCCTTGCCCAAAGGTACAGAGATCCTTGCTCAGAATTGAGGCTAATGAGAAAGAAACCAGGACACTCTCAGAAGAGGAGGTGGAAGAGGCCATGCCCTCCATTGTTGACTTTTTTTTAAAAAAAGCTCTTTTCGTTATTTTAGTTAACTAAGACTTTCTGCAAACTTCAACTAATGAGAGAAGTCCCCAAACCTGATGAGGCATCAGTGATCAGGCCCAGTATGGGTGCCTTTGAATGCCTTTGCCCAAGATTCATTTGAACTGGTAGCCCAGTCTTGTGTACCCCTTTCCAACTTTCTGCTTTTAAGTTCTAGAGGTAGGTGCCATTCTGAGGTTAAGATTCCTTCAGTGGGACTCTGAGAACAGAAATTCACAATAATAAGCATGTTTGTATTTTACATTTCACACTAAGCTTACAATCTTGACTTATTAAGCCCGGACATATATGAGTGGCATGTGTATCACCTTTTCTGTTGGATTGATCCTCCCTTTGTGTGAGCAGGGAAAAGAAGCTAGTATGAAGATTTAGTTGAAAATCCCAGTGCAGCTGGTAACCTGGTCCAGAAGAATCTTGTTTCCAGTGTTCAGGGTCTTAAACTAATTGGGAAATCCCATAGTTTCTTGGGAACACTGTGGGGTACTGTGGATTTCTTGAAGATTTGTTATATGTTTCATCTTTTCTTACAGCTATATCATCAGTCAAATTCTTTCTGACCAATCCCGAGATGTAATTGTAGAAAACATCCAGGCAAAGCTAATCCAAATTGGAGAAAATGTGGCAAATGGCTGTGTTCCAATAAAACAATTTGAAATCAACAAGGTAAATAGTATTGTTTGTGCCTGTATTATTAGTTGTTATTACTTCTGACCAGAATCTTTCTGAACATATCCTATAGGATTCTCTCTTCAAATGCCTGGATGCCTGCTGCCTTTTAGTAATTGTATGCTATTTGTTTGGTAGTGGGATTTTGGGCAGAAGAGCAAGAGGCATATAGAATTTTGGTTCATTTTGTAAAGCAGTCTCTTTTCCATTCATTCTGACTTAAAATAATTGCATCTAGCTAAAATGGAGGCAAGAGAGCAGGGGGATGAGGCAATGGGAGTGTACAGGCTTAAGTGCAAGGGCAAGGATTACATTGAAGGGGAAAGTCTTACCATTTGCCAGTTTCTTCATGCTGTCACTATTAATCTGTAGAAAGTACAGTGAATCCCTGGTTGTTGTTGTTGTTAGTCGCGAAGTCATGCCCAACCCATCGCGACCCCATGGACAACATTCCTCCAGGCCTTCCTGTCTTCCACCATCTCCCAGAGTCCACTCAAGCTCACACCAACTGCTTCAGTGACTTTATCTAGCCACCTCATTCTCTGCTGTCCCCTTCTTCATTTGCCATCTATTGTTCCCAGCATTAAGCTCTTCTCCAGGGAGTCCTTCCTTCTCATTAGGTGGCTAAAGTATTTGAGTGTCATCTTCAGTATCTGGCCTTCTAAAGAGTTGATCTCCTCTAGGACTCACTGGTTTGATAACCTTGCAGTCCAAGGGACTCACAGGAGTCTTCTCCAGCACCACAATTCAAAGGCCTCAATTCTTTGACACTCAGCCTTCCTTATTGTCCAGCTTTCACAGCCATACATTGCAACTGGGAAAACCATAGCCTTGACTATACGCACTTGTTGGCAGGGTGATGTCTCTGCTTTTTAGTGTGCTGTCTAGATTTGCTATAGCTTTCCTCCCCAGGAACAAGCGTCTTTTAATTTCTTGGCTACAGTCCCTGTCTGCAGTGATTCTGGAGCCCAGGGAAATAAAATCTGTCACTACCTCCATTTCCTCCCCATCTATTTGCCAGGAAGTGAGAGGACTGGATGCCATGATCTTAGTTTTCTTAATGTTGAGTTTCAAGCCAACTTTTGCACTCTCCTCCTTCACCCGCATCAAGAGGCTCTTTAGTTCCTCTTCACTTTCTGCCATGAGAGTGGTATCATCTGAATATCTGAGGTTGTTGATATTTGTCCCAGCAATCTTAATTCTAACTTGTGATTCATCTAGCTCCCACCTTTTCTCAGCTATTTGTAAAGCTTCCTCAGACAGCCATTTTTCATTCTTGGGTTTCTTATTCTTTGGGATGGTTTTAGTTGCTATCTCTTGTACAATGTTGCGAACTTCCATCCATAGTTCTTCAGGCACTCTGTCTGAATCCCTGGTAACACATTTAAAATGGTCTTACATTAGGTTCTGTCTTCCAGTTTTGATTTTTTTAAAGCTTGCCTAATGCCAAAGGCTCTAATACTGAATAGCATATTGAATAGCAATCAGAGTGGGTTTTAATTTACGTTACCAATTTTGAGGTTGCTTTCCTCTGTGTTTTACATAGGATAGAGGACCATGGTTTCTAATATTTTGAAGAAAATGAATTGCCAGCTATTAGCTATTTAATTGCTATGCCATCCAATAGCCAAAGCTGTCAAAGCAATTCATAACACAAAAGACAATAATAAAAATAGATGATGGTGATAAGAGAGCCAATGTGTGGTATAATGAATGGAAGTGGACTAAGGACTAAAACTAGGACTCAGGCAATCTGGTTTCTCATCCCCACTCAGCCATGGCTCTCACTGGATGGCTTTGGGCCAGTCACAGACCCTCAGCCCAACCTACCTCACAGGGGATGAGTTTGAGAGGAGGAGGAGAATTATGTAAGCCGCCGCGAGTTCCATAGAAGTTAAAAAGGTGAGATGTAAATTTAGTCAAAATACAAATACAAGAAAACACAGGACAGATTTCCAACATACAAATTTAAAGCAGTTTAACCAACTGAGGCAATTTCAATAAACTGGACCTGTTTTAAGAAGTGACATTTGCTATCATACTCCAGAGTGAGTGTGGAGAACTTCTGATTTCATCTACCTACTCCTCTTCTTCAGTCTTCTCTTTTTAGCTCTTTGAGGGTTCCAGCTGCTCCCTCTGTGGTTTCTAACACCTTGGAAGAAGGACAGACTCTTTTTGGGAGAACACTTTGGCTCTTTTCCACACCTCAGTTCCTTCTTTATAGTGGACTGAGACGTCCAGCTGGAGCTGTGTGTTCCCGTCCCATTGTACAGGCTTTCTCAGGATTTGGTCTGCTCTATCCATGTGACCCTTCATTTTTCACAACTGTAATTTCCTTCCCATGGAAATGGACTCACGCACAAGTGAGTGACTGCATCACCATTTTGTGTAGATCTGTTAACATGATGTGCACACTGCACTTTCTCTTCATGGGTAAGGTGCTGGCAAGGTACAGGTGGGAGATACTTACCTTTGCTACCTACCAACATCTGTCTTTGTCCAGGGGTGTTAGAACTCGAATTGTATTTCCCTTGGGAATGTACTCTATAGTGCCTGTCAATGACAGTGCCTATATTCTTTGTAGTAGAGGGAGCTTCCATAATATCACACTGCATCATGGTGGGTGGTCCCAAAGCAAAGGAAGCTTTTCTTAGTGCTGCAGGAAAACCTGTGGGACTGCTTGTATAAATATAAAATAGATAATAGGGCATTCTTCCCAGATGTAGAACAGACAGCTTGCAGTGGCAACAGCAAAAGACTCTCAGTGTTTACTGTAGTGTTGAGCACCTCCATACAGAGCAGCTTTGGTGGTGCGGCAACTTAAGAGAGAGGCAGTTGGGAGCAATGCTGGTTTGGGATACTTAGAACTGGTGAGTGCACAGGGCATGGTTGAATCCTGCCATCATCCTCTCAATGGACAACTGTTTGATGTGCCTGGATTCAAGGAGGCATTCTTTGGGGACTTTTTCAGATGGTGTCCTGGCTGTTTCAAGATATTGCAAAGTAATCTCACTGTCAGAGGTATTAACTGGGAGTAACATCTCTCCTGTCAAGCAGGATAGGTGCCGGCTCATTATAAAATGGCACGGCATGTGACTCTGTGCCAAAGCACATTGGTTTGTGATGGTGTCTTTAAATCTCTTCTTGCATGTGTGTGAAGTCCCCATGTGTCATCTGCTCAGGAAAGCAGGGTAACAAGTACTTGCATGTGCAGATTTCAAAATTCAGAGTGCATGTGCAGAATTTCACAGTTCCTGCAGCTTTGTCCCACAGATGGTTAAATACTCTGGCTTCTTCACCAGACCAGAACTTAGTACATGTTCTTTGGCCTTGTTATTCTTAGGCAAACTGTGCCCCATAGTGTGCCACTGGTAGCAGTACATCCATTTTCTATAGTGGTTGTGTGAGGGGAATGCGAGCAGAAGAAAACAGTGAAGCAGAGTAATCCTCCTTCCCTTCCATTCTGGGCATTTTCCCTAGCTTTTGCATGTATGTTTGTGCTGCAATAACTAAAAGTATTTTCAGTTTAGTCTGTTAGCTAATGGTGCCCTGCAGTGGGGCTGGTATTAGCTTATCATTTTCTAGGGGGACAAGATGGATCTAGAAAAATGCCAAGTAGAGGAGCACATGGCAAACACCCTGCAGAAGTAGAGAGGTACTTCTAGACTTGCAGATTTTGTTTTGATATAGAGCAGAGTCTCCTTCAAGGACATTCACACAAGATAAGACTAACTGGGAAAACAGGCCATCTAAGGAAGTGCTAAACTGTATGATGGAGGGAAGGGAGAGAGTGAAAACAGAACTGGACTGTCAAAGGGCCAAGATTGGGAATAAAAATAACCAGGTCAATGTGTAACCTGTGAGAGACAAATTAAGGTCTTGTTGGAAATATCTGCATGTGTTTTAGGGTTTATGTACTGTACAAACCCTGATTCACCACATGGGATGGTGGTTGAAGAATAACAGAAGAGTAAAAATAACCTGCTGAGGCAAATGGTATCAGTGAAAGCTGGGGTGCAGGGAGAACAACAAAAGACTGAATTCTCAAGCAGGCAGGAAAAACAAGCAAAGCCTATGATGAAGTGCAGGTGAAGCTGGAGCATAGAGGGAGGAACGTTGGGGGGGGGGGGTTTGCTGTTTTTGCTGGGTGGCTCTGAAGCCCTGTCCAACCTGCTGCACCAAAGTCACATCACCAGGTGATGTCATGTCATGCTATCCTGAACAACCCAACAACAAGCCATGGATTCTAAGGGCGACTTACGCATGGTTAACAAACCATGCCGAATAATCCGTGTCAGGTTTAGATATCACAATAAGCCACACAGACACAAGCAAGACTCACAGTCCATTGTGGCATATTGTGACATGCAAATCCAGTCAATATGATTGGGTATTATAATGCTGCAGTAATTCATTCAGCATGTTCAGTAAAAAGATTTCCTTTTCTCTGATTTATAGGCATTAACAAAGGATCCACAAGATTACCCAGACAAAAAAAGCTTACCTCATGTTCATGTTGCACTGTGGATAAATTCTCAAGAGGGCAAAAAGATGAAAGCTGGGGATACTGTGTCATATGTTATCTGTCAGGTAAAGTATTCAGTTTTTTTTTTTCAGTTATACCTTTTGTTTTCTATCCTTAAGAACAAAAATCTAAAGCAATTTTAATGTAGTAAATTTTTGCTTATGAGTATAGTGTGTAAATAAATACTGTAGGAAATATAGTGCATCCACAGTAATAACTTACATGTATTTCTTTAGAAGAAGAAAAATAAGCTTCCATACCCGTTGTTAATGCTATCTTTTATCTTTTTTTGGTATAGGACGGTTCAAATCTGAGTGCCAGCCAGAGAGCATATGCTCCTGAACAACTGAAAAAACAAGCAAATCTTGTTATTGATACTCAGTACTATCTGTCACAACAGATTCATCCAGTAGTTGCTCGTATTTGTGAACCCATAGATGGAATTGATTCAGTTCTTATTGCAGCATGGCTTGGTAAGTATAGAGGCTGGTATTCATTTTTGTATTAATTATTAAGAACTAATACTTTTTTGACAGATAGACCCTGGAGTAGTCATCGTCAAATCATAGATTCATGATTGCAAGGACCCATGTAGGCCATCAAGTCCAACTTTCCACTCAGTGTTCATGGAAGCTATCAGTAAAATGGAAAAATATGAAAAACCAGTAAAAAATAATTTTGCTTTGGACCAAGTACAGCTTTGGACTTTTCACAAGGATAGTGCTGGTGAGACTTGTCTTATTACTCGTGAGGATAGCTGCTAGCCCAAATGAGATAGAGTAACTCCATAAGAGATTTACAAGAGCGAAGCAGGACATTTTTGAGGGCTTTCATTCATAGGGTCACTGTAAGACAAAGACAACTTGATGGCACATAACAACAAATACCTGCTAATACCCCTGTAGTCTCCTTCAGGAAGGAGTTAATCCATTTCGTCATCTTAAGAAGACACTGCCACACAGTGGGGGAGAAGGGATGTATTGAATTATGACCCTCCACCTATTAATCTTCCCCTGCTTCAAACTATTCTATTGCAAAGCCATGCATTGACTTGGGAAGTCTGCCCCTAGTGACTGAAAATGTTATTGCAGCGTTCAATCACGTGGGCATTTTTAAATGTAATCAATATTCTTAAGTTTAAAAGATGAAATAAACCCAAGATTCACCTCTCCAGGGTACACACATGGGTAATCCCGAAGTATACACATCAAGTTTGAGGTGCCTAATGTTAGAGCTCTAACACTGAGAGATGAATGGACAGATATTCACCCTCTTTTATTATTAGTGAATGAACCTAGTTTTATCTGAGCTGATAAAAGCCCTTATGCTGATACAGTGAAAGCTGCAAGCAAACTTACACAGCTGTCTGAGCTGGGCACATTGTGATGGCCTTGTCTAAGTCAAGGCATGCCCACTGGTACCCCTATGAATGGCGCTTTCCATCCTGTACCACTGTTGTCCCCTAATGGAGCAGCCTGCTGATTAAGTTACCATGATGGGGGGTTGCCCTACAGTAATGGAGAGGAGAGTCGTTTAACTCTGTCATTCATGTAAGTTGAAGTAGCCTTGGTTGATAGAGTAAAGAGTGTACAGGGACTTAACGTAGCTGTCAGAGTGGGACACATAGTGCCTTCCCTGTTACTATTATCAGGAGTGCAGTTTGACTCACTTGCTTAAGCAAGTAAGTATACTATGCATCTTAAATATTCTTTTCCACTTGTCTGAAGTGAATATGAAAAATTCAGTGGATTATTTTGCTTTAGAGAACGGTTTTCAGTTTAGAATATTCTTGTTGCCTAAGCCTGGTGTTGCAGGACAGACTACAACATCTGTTGAAACCATTTGCCTAATCACTTTGTATATTCTGGTCATTAAGACACAGTAGCCTTGTTCAAAAATAATAGTCAACTAGAACTCAAAACTTTATCTGAATCAGCTCACTGTGATCAGAATATATAAAGGTATTAAAATCAACGCACCTAAACCATGGCTTAGTATTTATAAGAATAAGCTGAACCTTGGGCATCCATGCTCCTCACCCCTCCTCTCAGGTTGCTCCTCTTTTGCTGTATCACCCATACTTGTACAAACTGCTGCTAATCTTAATTTGTCAGTTAGCTGGCTCACACAATCATTGTTGGCTAAAAAAGTAACAGTGACTTGTTTAAATCATGCCATGTACCAGGCACAATTTGCATAATCACCTACCCTGCCACAGCTTGTCATGTGGCTTTACTTGTTTGAGGAGGAAACAATTCTCAAATAAACTTGTTTAGCTTACAGTGATTGTTTGAACTAGGTCTATATGGCAATGAATCAAGATCATATTTGGACCCTGGAGTAGTGACAGAGTGCTTCTTTCAGAGGTTGGCATTCTCTGGAGCTTTTCATTTCAGAAAAGCTATGCAACTTTGAATCTTGAATTTCAGCCAAATAAATGAAACCAACTTTATTTCCACTATCTAAATTCTTATAGTTAGCTTTTAAGTTTGCATATTTATATAGCTAGTGAAAAAATGATTCTAGAGCTGATTTTGGGGGACCTAAGTAATCAGTGTTTATTAAACAGAGCACTGAAATACAATCTAAAAAGATTTAGATTTGAAACCTCTAGGTGGCAGCACTATACACTAGTTTTCTTTTATTTCTCAAAAGCTTTCATGAATTAAGCTGCAAGGTGAGATTAATTTTTGAACTTGCATAACTCTCAAGTTAGACCAAAGTCGATCTATATTTGTGGGGGGGGGCTGCTTATTAAAATAAATACATTTGGAATACATCTAATTATCCTGTGAGCTGAGACTTTTCTGCTAGGAAATGTTATGTACAAAATGTTGTTGCAAAACTTTAATAAACATAATAACTAGGTCAATTATAACATGTATTACATAATGGTAGAAACTTTATTTTTTACTTTTTCCCAAAGGCTTGATCAAATTATGATTAAATTATGGTATAATTGCTGTTAATGGAATGTAATGTTTTTAAAATGGGATATGAGTTATAAGCTAAGTTTTTAAAATATATTTAATGTGGAGAATCAGAACTCAGTTAATTGTATAAAGCCCATCTGTGAGAAAATAACACGTATTTAATTTTGGGGGTGGGGTATACTCATAACCAAGAGAGGTTAAACAAGACTTTGGGGACATTGCTTTCATAAGTATGCATAATATGTTTAAAATGTGTTTTATCAAGCTACTTTTACTGCTGCAAAATGTGTAAATTATTATTCAGAACTTTAACTGAATCAGGTAATAGTCTATGAAACAAAATGCAGTGTTGTTCATGAAGATATTTAGTTGAAATTGTGCTCTTAGTTGGATTGCCTTATTGCCGGTTTAAATATGTTAAATGCATTACTGAATCAGGACCACAGTTGCTTGGGTTATTTCCAGACAAAATAATTATTAATGCTAAAGTGAAAGCTAGTGCAAATTACTATTGATGGAGCCCCACTGGTATCAGTACAGCTCTAGTGTTCAAGTCTGTATCTAATCTTCTTGCTAACAGAGAAAGAAGGCTTACCTTTAGCTCTGTTTATTTCCAGTGCCAGTTATTTGCTTTTTGAAATTTAGCACTGCTGCATAGCATAATAAAGTATAATAACCTTACAGTGTTGTTCAGTATTATTTAAACAGCATTACAGGTGAACATGTATTATTCAATTGAAATGTTATTTCTTTAATAGCTCAAGAAGTCAAACCTGGATTTTTAGACCAAATTAGGACGTTAACCTTTTGCAAATGATAAAGAGTATATTGCAAGTATTTACATGGTGCAGCAGGAAGAAAGGAAAAACAAAACAACTCAGAATTACTTTTTAAATATAGTGCAAGATTTTTTAGAACTGATGTAATATGACAGATTTTTTCAATAACTTTTAATCTAGCACCCTTCTGCTATAGTGTTTTTTCATAAATTTATTCTATTAAAATGTTTTGTGTCATAAATAGTTGATAATTTCTAGCCATTTACTAAAAACACTTATGTTCAAGAGTTCAGATTAAATAATATTTTTTAATGACAATGACCTTCTCAAGCATTAAGTAGCTAAAATTGGTACGAGTAAAATAGGTATCAGTTCTCGAGACTTCAGCCTATCAACCACTCCAGAATAGTATCAGAAGTCATAGTGATATGTTTGGAGAGTGCTTTAGAACTGTTCCAGTAATGGTAGTTTGTGTCCTGCAGTCATGATTAACATATCAAGTAGTTGTTGTTGAATGCTGTACACTCATGTTAAGAAAGGTGAGATGTTTAAATATGGTTTCACCAATTTATGTTTCTGAACTGGTAACTAGAATTAATTTTATCAAACCCCAAGAGTCACCTGAGTAACTGAATTAAACTAAATTAGATATCTTATTGAATTGGCTAGTTTGATCAAGGGTGTGCTGTGCTTGCAGATTAATGTTGCTTACAAGGTAAAAATCATTTCATACCTTTTATTTAGAATGAAAAATGTAAACTTCAGTGTTTACTGTTCCAAATGGAATGGTTTTAAAGAAAACATATTACCAACCCTCTGAGGTGAACATTTTGCAAGTTGATTTCTTTGTCCTGAAAATGCTGTTTGTGCTGCCTAATAATTCTGACACCCAACCAAATTATTTTGCTGTATGAAATTCTATTAAAATAATAATCTTAATCTGATAGCTTTAAGCAGCTGTTTAAAATATATCTCTGAATGCAAGACACAATAGTATAGTAAATAATTTTTCTGTGTGTGTATGTGCATGTGTGCGTGCACTCATGGCTCAGCTTATGTTTGAGTTGCTAATATTTCTTAAACTTTCTGGCTTCTGGTAACCAGATCTACTTCTTTTCTCCAATTCGGACTTTTTAAGTGCTGCTGTTGAATTTTAACGACTGCATTAGATTGAAACCTACATGCTGTTAACCACTGAGCCAAAATGAAATCGACCACTACATTGAAGTCTGAGTTGGCAGTTGTGTATAGTCTTGAAGGAGTGGGTAATAGGAGTACAACCAGGTTTCTTTTAATGGGATTTTTATATTCACTATCTCATTTTAATGATACCATTCTGGCTTAAAGACTTTCCTAATAAAGATGCACAATTTTATTCAAATATTCTCTGTGTAACTTAAGAAAGTAGCAATAAAGCTGTTCTCTAGGAGTAGAATCTTCATAAACAAAACGTTCTCCTGCATGCTCCCCATGATAGATAATGCATTGTGCTTGTTTTATTTATAAAGCAATTTTGTGTGAAAAGATAAGTAATTTCTTCATGTTACTCACATTTTCATCTTAGGTTAAAAATGGGAAAATTTATTTATTTTTTTAAAACACCTCTTCCTAAGAATTCAGTTTTACTTTGGATTTTACGACTCTCATTTGAAGCTGATGTATCAACTTAGATGAATTGTTTTCTTTGGACTTTGAATTTATATTTGTTATTAATAGGGCTGGATCCCTCACAGTTCAAAGTCTGTCACCATTATCATAAAGATGAGGAGAATGATGATTTGCTTGGTGGCCCAGTTCAGCTCACTGATGAAGAAAAATATAAAGACTGTGAAAAATTCCAGTTTGCCTGCCCGAAATGTGGGACAGAGAAAATTTATGACAATGTGTTTGATCATTCGGTCAGTATTTGGGTCTTGTGCTTGGAAAAGAGATCCTTTATTTATGGGATGCTATAGTGGAGGAAAGAACCAGTTCTATTTATGTCTCTGTAAGAAGCATTTCTATATATTGATGTCAAATGCACTTTAGGGTACTGTTTTCAAAAAAGATTTGTCATGCTTTTGGTATCACTATTCTGATTTTTTCAGACTTTTCCATGTATTTTTCATCTTTGAACCGCTCATTTAATAAAGCCTGTTCAGTGACATTTTATTTCCCTAAATCAAAGTAATTGGAGAAGAGCATTTTTGTTTTATTTTGTACTTTTACACACCCTCCCTGTTTTATATAGAAGCTTCCTCTGTGTTATCTCTCCTGCTGTCTTTGTACATCAGACATAAAAAGTCATCGGGTACATTCCTACAGAGAAGTGCTGCCAAAAAATGTATCTGTGACCTTGGATCAGAACTTGAAATAGAGCCAACTATTTAACTCTATTGCAATGTTATGCATGTACTAGTTATTGGCAAATTAGCAGGCTGTGGAGTACTGAAAACCTTGAAAGTTAAAGCAAATGAATTCTTTATCTAAATTAAAAGTAATTATTTTAAGTTAATTTGGACAAACAGCAGATGTTCTGTGTTCTTAGAATCAAAACAAAGCGGTTTTTGGAAGCAAGTAAGAGGAAAAGGCAGGCACAGAGCAGCAATACTTGCTAAATCCTTGACTTTGTTTCATTACAGCTGTAAATAAGATAGTTAATTGCATGGAGGCTTGACAAGTTACAGATGGGCTAAGTATAAGAAGAACGGATGTCAAGCTCTGCAATCTCTTCCACCTGGAATTGCTTAATATTGTTAGTGTGGGGATAGTGTTTTTGGCTCACAAAAGTACAGATTTTTAAGCAGTGATAGAAACATGGTGTGAAATTCTGCTGCTCTCCAGTGCAGTTTAAAAAAATAATTTTGTCTGTGTATAGATAGACGAAAAATGTGTTTGGTTATACAATTTGTAAATCTTCCAGTATGGTATTCTGGCTGTTCATTCTAGTGTGCTACATAAGAACTTTGAACCTATGCAGTTAAAATTACAATAAAAATACTAAGACAAAAAGATCATTTTGTCTTATGCTAGCACAAGTTCTGTTGTACTAGCATATGGGCTTTCTACTGCTATGACAATAGTGCTCATTTGTGCTTCTTTTTTTGTGGGGGGGGGTGGAAATGTCATCATGCAAGCTAATCTGTGGCCGTTAAAGTAGAGGTTCCTTAAACTATCACAAAATAATTTTCATTAGCACACTGACATAATAGAATACCCATTCTTAAATAGATTTCTTGCATATGATTTCCTGCACAATTATCAATGAATGTTTTATTGTGGTCACAGATCAGTATTGCAAAGTTGTCCATACATGTGCCCAAGATGTTGACTTTTTTGGTCTTTTATTTCTTTAGGGTGGGATGATTGAAGCCAGTTTGCAACCTTGTAGCAAATGCCATGAAAACCTTTCAGATTATCTCATGCAAATTAACAACAAGCTAATCTTGGATATAAGAAACTATATTAAGAAGTACTACAGCGTGAGTAACTTTGTTCTTAATTTATACTTATTCATTTATATGAACAACAACTTTTCCAATCCTGATCCTTATCCTTTGTAAGTGAACAGCTCAATACAGAATTTGGTCCTGCCTGTGTGTCCCATCTTGTCTCTCCTCTTCCAGTTTCAACTTCAGGGTAGATACCCTGGTTCCTTATATCACAGCGAGCTCCAAGGACTGAACCAGGGTGGTGGTTTAAGGACTTACTGGAAACCAAAGTATTAACCAACCAGGTTCTGATCCTAATTTTATATTCTTGTTTATTACAAACTCTTAACCTACACTGTTGATGTTACAGAAAGCTGTGGTTTAAGAAAGCAGGATATCTTTATTGTATCCAAGTGTACAAGAGGGTGTTGATGAGGGGTGAGCATGATGGTGTACAGCTTATACTTGGTCAGATGGTAGACTGAAACTCTGACATCTGAGCTAGGCCTAATCATTTTCTATAATGCTATTTTCTGTACTTTACATACAAGGGACTCTTTGCTGTTATAATATGATTTTTTTTCATTTAAGGAATACCTTAAACTGGCCAACCCCACCCTGAGACCACAACTCCCCACATGTCTGATCTGGATGGTACTGAAGGGAACTGAAGTCCAAAAGTTCTGGAGAGTACCCATCGGGGAAGGCTGCCTTCAGCATTTTCTTGCATAAAACTGATATTGGCAATCTTAATTTAGGTGTAGGCAATCTGGGCTCTCCAGAGGTTTTTTTGACTACAGCTTTCGTAATCCCTAGATAGCATGGTCAGTGGTCAGAATTAAGGAACTGTAGTCTAAAACATCTGGAGAGTGCCAGTTTGCCTACAAGTGGATACAAATGCCACTACTTAATGTATGGTTTGTGTTACGAGTGATACAGGCTATCCTTGTTGCTCAAAAGTATTTTTCGTCTATATGTTTGTCTGTATGTGTGAAAGCACTTATACCCTCCTCTTCAGCTCTGAAAAGCTGAAGCTAAAAAGATTAATAACAAGACAATAGCCTCTCTCAGGCTTGCATCTAAAATAATACACAGAAGGAAAATGAATTAAGATGCAGGTAGGAGAAAATAAAGTCAGACATTAACTATTAAGATGTACTGTTCTTATCTGCTTTTTCTGGCAGGGTGGGATGAAACAAGTTTCCAGCAAATGTTCCTTCTCTCACCAGTGTATAGGTCTAGTCTGTGCTTCCTTCGCCATGTTTTAATTGTTTGCTTTGATTGGTCCCCACCCCCACACACACATCAGAGCCAGTGGGACCAGTTTTCCACTGGTCATGGGTCCCCTGGCAATGGCAGAGACTGCTGTGCTCCACTTCTGCCATTCTAATGCAACTCAGCTGTTGGACCTGGTCAGACTATAGACAGATGTAAAATTACAGCATTTACTCTGAGCATTAAATTTTTGTAATCATTGAAAAAGAATGACTACATGGGAAAAGTTGGCTACATAAAGATTAATTCAATTTTTTCCTTCAATTGTGCAGGATAAAGAATTCCGTAAAAACTTTAACACTGAAATTGGGCTTACTAATCCAGTACGTATCTTGGCAAAGGTCAAGGAAAATAATTTTACTGCTAAATATTTGTATCCTGGTATAATGCATCATCCTTTACCTACTTTTATCCAAGTAGAAATCATCTGCAACCACGTTAACAGAAAGCTTTCACAAGATTTTTACATCTGTCTGGAAGTTCACTAAAATTCTAAGATTTTAGGGTACCCAAACTACACTGAGATTTTGTAGAAGTATAATGTAGTTTGTCCAAACTTTAAAATAGTGTCAGTGTGTCAGCACTGGATGTTAGGTCAAGCCTAGAAGATTCAGAAAATTTAGGATATTTTCCAATGCAAGTTTAAGCAAAAACAAAATCCCACAACTCCCTGCATTGCCCACATTCCACGGATGTCTGAACAATGTTGGAAGTTGCACCCTTTGTCAAATATAAAGTTATATTGGAACTATTTGCATGGGTAGGAAAACACTTAAAAGAGATTGTGGCAACTGAAGTTCAGGTGATACTTAAATCATTATACTTAAATCTTTCACGTAGGAGAAAAAAGAAATAGGCAATAATTTGGTCCTCTTCTCTTCCTTGGCAGCATATTAACACAAGATGTGAAAGATATTACTACATATTTTGAGCATCTCTTTTTATTCTTAAAATAGTGAGTTAAAGTTTAGTGGTATTGTACTAAAGGTATTAACATAGGCGTAGTAACTGCCAGGCATATAGGATCAGTGCATGAGTTATATGTATTTATGACAGTATGCTTTTACATGAAGCAACGGTTTAATGTCACACTTTCTGAGGGTCAGTTTGGTTTAGTGATAGTACCAGAGAAAAGAAGCATTTGTTGATTTTCATAGAACATCATTGAACTCAGCCATTTCACTTGGTTATCCATGGTTATTGAATTGTATTTGTACTAGTTCAGACAGATTTGGGGAAAAGAATATCTTAAGTTCAGCATTGGTTTTACTCCTGGTTTTGTAATGCATCTTTCAGTGATAGTTAAGTTTAGGATCACTTCTTGAAGGTTAAGTATTTCAAGTTTTAATTGCAACAACTCAATATAATTAAGGAGATTTACAAAAAGAAGGCCCTCTATTTTGCTCAATACTACATTTGCATGTTCTACATTAATAGTGATATTGGCTCGTTCTTTGAAAATTATTCATGAAAAATGTTTATTTTGAAGCTATCAGAACAGAACTTTAATTACTGTGATTTTGTCATTCTAATGCCAAGCCTATGAATGGCTAGATATGTGTTCTGGCTAGATAAGACAGTGTTGCTTATACTGTAACAAATATAAACATTTGCAGAACAACATGTTAAGCAGTTTTTGCTCAGTGCAGTTCCTTAACAACTAGTATTCAAGAATAGGCAGATTGCAAGTTTGTGATTGATTTAGCTAACATAATCACCAACAAAACAATAAATATTTAGTATTGTTAGTCCATGCTAGTGTCCCTAGTGACATAGTAGCATTGTCTGAGGAATATTCACCTCAATATTTTTGAAATGATTTCCTCAAGAATGAGATGACTTCAGAGTTATACTGCAAAGGTAGGCATGTTTAACAAGAAGTGGCTTTGCATTCAGTGGGGCTTACTTCCAGGTATGTGTGCTTAGCATTGCAGCCTTTTCTAGGGCTGGTTTGTTATCTTTACCAATTGCTGTTAGTTTATAGGTCTTGAGTAGAGACCGTTTTAAGTAGTGGTATTCAGTTTCTATGTAATGAAGTGAGTAAATTTGGTGAGAAGAATTCGGCTCTCTGCTTTTCTCCCATTATTCCCTCCTTTTTCTCAGCTTTGTCTCATCCAGTCTGGTTTCCCTGAGGCTATTACCTTGTTCACTTACTTTTCCCACTACTAACTCTTGTCTTTCTCCTTTGCTTACCTCAGTGCTTCTGCATCTTTCCACTTAAGCCTCCTTGGCTGCCCATACAGCTATTTTACCTAGCTGCTTTATGAAGCTTTTCCCAAGTCAACTGAGCACTCACTTCTTCCAGAAAAACGTACAAATATCATTGTTGCCAGTTCTGTCACATAAATGCCTGCTTTTTCTTTCTTTCTCACTACAAAAAAATGTAACCCATGTTTGGTAGATAGGTTTGTATGATCACTGCAGTTTACTGTTGCCTATTTAAACCATGCTGCTTTTCAGTGTGTACTGGCAGCCATTTTGAATATTCAACAGCCAATCAGGGTTTGGCATAGTGTGTTGTGTTGAGTTGGTTTTCATTACTTGAATTTGTTGTAACCTGTAATTCACCATGCCTTATATAAAGTATGGCAGGCTGGGATAGCAGTGCGAATCCCTGAGAATAAGTCACAATTGATGGATAGCATATTCATTACTCCTGATAGTTGATCACCTGCTTGGTAGCTTACTGTGGCTTTTTTCTCCTTCAGCTCCTCGCAGTCCTTGCAGCCAGCATGTACCCCATGGGCCCCTGCAGTAGTAATCCTCATGTCCTTTTTCCCAATGTTAGAACCCTTTCTGCAAATGGTTTGCTGAGGTTGTTTGCACATGGGCAAAACTTCAGATTGCTGAAGGGGTTTAAGGTTCTGAACTGTTATGAACATATCACCCAAGATTTTAAACAATATTTTAGCAAGTGTGCAGCACCAAGAGACTAGTGATCCTCAGTTGCATAACCATCCCCCCACATCAATGCCCTTGGCAATTTCATCCTCCACTTTGACAGTTCTGCTGCCAGTGAACACTTTTAAAAAAAGGTTGCTTCACATCACACTAAAGTAATAACACCGGCTCCCTAAAGCCCCTTTTTTCCCTGTGGCTAATAGATGCTTTTGACTCCCCACCTTCATTCTTGTTGCTTCCCTCCATTGGTATCTGTTGTTAGCTTTTAGGTAAACATAAAGGCTACACAGTAATAAATGGGATTGCTTAACATGTCAGTGTATAGGCAGAGCCAGAACTGAGTAGAAGCACAAATTTCAGAACAAATCTGCAAAAGAACAGTGATTAAGCGGAGTGGTTATGGCATTTTAGTAGATTCATGTAAAGCTCCCCAAAATTTAAAAATATAAATAAAGTTAAATTGTCACAAATAATATTAAATATGTGCAAATCTCCCCAAGGTTAAAAAAAAGTTAGATTTGTATAAATTTTCCCAGATGTGAAAATAAAAAGTGTCACTGTCTAGGAAGGCAACAAAATGGAGGCATAAATAGACAAGTATCATTTCAACGGAGAGTGGTATCAAACACAAGGAGAAGCCAAGTTTTCACCCCTTTTGCCAAACGGCTTTCTCTGTTTTCAACAACCCATGTGGAAGAGAATTTTTGCCAGGCTTTGGATATCACAACCAGCTACCATAAGAAAAAGTCACCCTAAACGATGCCAGTATAAGCCATGGTTCCCCACTTGGGGAAGGGGTGGGGAAAATGATAGAAAAGCTGTGCTTTTCAACCTTCAGTGGCATAATGGGGGAAGCAGGTCTCTGTAACAAAGTGCCAGAGGCTGTATAAACAACAGTATGTACATCTTGACTACTCAACTTGACTAAATCACCTTGCAGGGGATGTCATATCATGCCAGATTTCCACAGGGATCCATCTTTCTGTGACATACATGAATCCAGGTGGCAGGGATTGTTTGAAGGTTTGACAAACCTCATATAATTGTAAAACAAGCCATGAGTTATTTCAGACTTGTCTACCCTTCAAATAGTGCCTGCTGCCTGGGTTTGCGTGACCTGACAATTATTGTGAACTGCTCAGACTGTTTTGGCTATTGGGCAGTATAGAAATAAAATACAAACACATAAATACAAGCCACAGAAAACTGAGCACCCAGCTGCAAAAATGGCTCAACACAACAACCCTCCCAGGTAAACTAAACTATAGTTGGCTAGTGTTGTCATAAATCTGCAGGGGAGAACACCTAATATCTCTTCAGATGGGAAGGGTGAAAGAACTACTATTAATACGCTGCTATGGTGAAACATCTAGCTGTAAAAACAGTAGCTGGGTATAATCAGCCTCATATTTTAAAGAGAATCAGAGTAAAGGTGGAGAGAGAGGCTGGTTAGTGAGGGAGAAGCAGGCATTAAAGACAACCTCCCATCCCAGCTATCTCACTGTGTTCTACCTCTGGAAGAGAACATGTGGGGATGTGAAAAAATGGGAAGTGCAGAGAGGCTTATACCAGTAGCCAGTCAAAGGGGTAGGCAGTCATCACCAGATTTTTCAAAATTGTAGTGCTAAGTTAAAGCTCCTGTAAGTATTCCACAAAGTTGAAGTAGTGATAGCCTTAGCTTTTTTAACCTTTTGATCTCAATCTCTCACCCTTTCTTACTGCCCCCATGTATATTGTTATATCTTGAGTTTCATATAAGGAACTAAGTGCTCCCTAGATTTTATATTCACCAGTCCCTGCAAAATAGATAAGGCTGAGAGCTGGTGACTTGCCCAAAGTCATCTAGTGAGCTTCATGTGTGAGTGGAGATTTGAACCTGAATTTTCCCTATCCTATCCAATCAGTTTATGAAATTTACGCAACACAACAAGCAACTCTGTGTGGTCACTCTGTTTTGCATCTTTTTATTATGATCTACTCTACAGACAATCAAATGGTGTCTATGTTATCATAGTTTCCATTCTCCCTGCTCATTCTTTTTGCTGTTGGCATATATTTGTTCAACCACCATGCCTGAAATTCAGTACCAAAGTGCATCATTGTTCCTTGCCTGTGTTTCCTACTACTTCCTTATTGATTTGCACTTAGAGGCTAGATGGCTTGAGTGGCTTCTGCAGCTGTTGCTTTTTCCTGGTCTTTCTATGTTAATTGCATATGACCATGGAAAATCTGGTCCTAGGTTCAGACAATATGACAAGCCATGGTGATACAGAGAAACCATAGAACTGTCATTTCTTATTGTGATTTCTAAAGACCAAACTTTAGACCATGGAGAAGTACCATGCCTGGGTTTCAGGCAACACAACAGACCAGCAATGGTAAAGAACCACCATGGATTGTCATGTTGTCTGGACTCAACCTGTATCTATGTTCTGTCTTTCTTGTACTTGAACTTCATTGTGAAGGAAACAAAGACTGAGCTGGGAGACCCCAGTGGTCAAAACACATGAAGTCCTGCTATATGTGTCTGGCTTGGAATGTTCCAGGCCCCGAAAAGGACAAGATGATAGAATTAAAACAGAATTATAAGCTTTAAAAAATAGTTATCTTTAACTTCTTCAGGGTTTTGTTTTGTCCTGATTAGGACATTATCTGTTTTCAGTTAACTTTAATTTTAATAATGTTTGTAGTTCAAATCAGAAAACAAAATGATACTCTTTTGCTGGTTAGTGTCTTGAACTAACTAGGAAAAGACATTACCAGACTCATATTAAAAGACATTGCCAGACTCAAAACAAAGGTAAGAACATAGTTCCACTGCAGAATGCCCTTCCCCGATCACATAGACACTCTTGCCTACCTGGCTTAAGAACATAAGAAAAGCCAACTGCCCAAAGGGATCCCTCAAGCAGGGTGGGTACAAGACCTCCACCTGCCCATGCTCCTCAGCAACTGATATACGCAGACATGCCACCTCTGGTAAAAGAGGTAGCACATAGCCAGCAAGGCTAGCAACCAGTGTTAGTCCGCAGAGTGGTATCTTCAGTGTGAGAGGATACATGTTCACCGTCCAAGGAATGGGTCCCTCCTAAGGGATCATTTTTCTCTTCCTCAGAACACCC